TCAGAAACGATGGATCGCGGTGCTCCATGCAGTTTCATCACATACTCCACGAATAGCCTGGCAATCGACTTTGCAGTGTAAGCATGGGTGATAGGTACGAAGTGAGCATACTTTGTGAGGCGATCCACTACAACCATAACACCGTCAAATCCATTAGAACTCGGTAACCCTCTATGAAATCCATAGTAATGTCTTTCCAGATTGCCTCGGGTACCGATAGAGGTTGTAACAGCCTACTCGGTCATCGTGAGTCAGACTTAGTGCGCTGGCAATCTCGGACGGTATTCTGTTGTCCTCGCCAGAAGAAAGTATTGGCTATTCTCATCCATGTGCGGTAGATACCCGAGTGGCCCCCAATTTTAGAGTCGTGGAAGTGCTGCATGATTTGCTCACGTAACTGCCCACTGTCGGGAACGAATACTCGGCCTCGGTGTAGAAGCAGACCATTATGCAACTCATAGTCGATAGCAGTTGTCTTACTTGCTTCTATTGATTGGCGCAACTCCTGGCAATAGGTATCCTCCACTTGCACCTTCCTGACTTCCTCCCAAATAGTCCAAGCCGGCCCAGCGATAGCATTAAGCTCGGCTACATCCGTCCATCGGGATAGCGCGTCAGCTACTGCATTCTGTCGACCTGGTCGATAGACTATCTCGAAGTCAAACCCCATAAGTTTAGATACGAACTTCTGCTGCTCGGGGGTAACAATCCTTTGCTCGAGTAGATGGTTAAGCGGTTGTTGGTCGGTCACAATCCGAAAGCGTCGGCCTAATAGATAAGGCCTCCAGCACCTTACAGCCTCGACAACTGCTAGCATCTCATTCACGTACACAGATAGACCCAACCGTGTAGTGCCTAGTGCCTTGTTGAGATAAGCTAAGGGTCGCCCCTCTTGCACTAGCACAGCTCCAATCCCAATGTCACTCGCATCTGTGTGTACCTCGAACAAGACATCAAACCTTGGCATGGCGAGCACTGCGTTGTAGTCATGGCTACTTTCAGTTTCCCAAACGCCTCCTCGCTAGCTTCGGTCCATGTGAACCCGCCTTTCTTAGTCATCTTTGTCAGTGGCTTGGCGATGGTTCCATAATCCTTCACGAACTTTCTATAGTAGCCCGTGAGCCCTAGAAATCCCCTCAGCTGTGTGAGACTTGTCGGTTTAGGCCAATCGACCATAGCCTCAATCTTTCGTGGATCAACCTTCACACCCTCATGGAATATGAAATGCCCTAGATACTCAATCACTTTCTGCCCGAACGAACACTTGGATGGCTTGATGTGAAATGAGTTTGCCTCCAAGATTTCGAGCACGACTCTCAAATGCTCAAGATGTTCAACCCACGACTTTGAATAAATCAGGATATCATCAAAGAATACCAGAACGAACTTATGTAGATACTCCTTGAAGATGGAATTCATAGCGAACTGGAAAGTGGATGGGGAGTTGCACAATCCGAATGGCATAACCAGATACTCATAGTGCCCCTGGTGCGTACGAAATGCTGTCTTCGGGATGTCGGCCTTGTGGAGTCGAATCTGATGATAACCAGCTCTCAGGTCGAGCTTTGAGAAGTAACGTGATCCAGCTAACTCATCGAGCATGTCGTCGACACTAGGAATAGGAAATCGGTCCTTGATAGTCGCGGCGTTCAGAGCTCGATAGTCAGTACAGAACCTCCACGTGCCATCTTTCTTTTTAGCTAACAGTACTGGAGAAGAAAACGGACTCTTGCTATGCTGGATTAGTCCTGACTCTAGCATCTCGGCCACCTACCGTTCGATCTCAGTTTTCTGAAAGTGAGCGTACCTATAAGGGTGGACGTGGATGGCATGCTGTTCATTAATCAGTGGTATGCGATGATCGAACTCTCGGTGTGGTGGTAGTTCCTTAGGTTCACCTAGTAATCCCTCAAACTCCTCGAGAAGATTGCGCACATCTCCCTGTTGTTGCTCGTCCTGGTCTATGTGCGCTTTAGTGTTGTCGACCACTACTGCGAAAATTTGGTCGCCACCTCACCAAACTCTTTCGATGCTTTTCAGCCCTACTTCCTTAGTACCTTTTTTGCTGCCCGTACTCAGAGTGACTTGTCGACCTCCAGAGTTGAATTCCATAATTCATGTTCGATAGTCGATAGTCACCTTGCCTAACCCTTCGAGCCACTACACTCCCAGAACGACATCCGGTCCAACTAAAGGTAAGGCATAGAGATCAGCCTTCACAGTAACTCCGTTAAACTTGATTGGCACCTTCCGAAATGACTCAGTACATTGTAGCCTTTCCCCATTGGCTACTCGAACTTCAAAGGGCTCGATTTTTGTGGTTGGCAACTTCAGCTTTTGAGACAAATCAGTGTTGATGAAGTTATGAGACGACCCATTGTCTACGAGTACGGTCACTCTTGGATCTTTGACCCATGCTGGTAGTCGCATCGTCCTTGGTCCTATTATTCCAGCCATTTCATGCATCGAGATCTCAGGCTCCTCATTGAATGCTTCAATCTCATCCTCCTGATGTGGTTCCTCCTCGACCTCAGCTTCCTCATCGTCGGGGTTGGCCACCTCAATCACAAAGGCCTGCTTGCATTGATGACCTGGGGTAAACTTTTCTTCGCACTTAAAGTAGAGGCCTTTCTCCCGTCGGCGTTTGACTTCCTCGGGGGATAGCCTCCTTACTACCGACCCTGCTGGCCGAGCGCTGATGTTCGGCCGTGTGCTTGCTGTCGCCTGGCTTGGGCCTGTGCGCTGCGTATCTGTGAAACGAGCATCCGCTCGTCCCCTTCGCGTCGCAACCAGGTGATCTTCGCGTCGTCGGGCAACCTCTATCGCATCGTGCATGGTGTCAGGCCTCTCGAGTCGGACTTCTGCGGCTAGATCAAATTTTAATCCACCTACAAACGCTCCCACCAATGCATCTTCAGGCCAATCGTGAACGCAGCAGGCCAACTGTTCGAACTCTCCGATGTACTTGCGCAAGCTGCCTGTTTGCCTTATGCACGTGAGAGCCTCGTTGTAGTTATGGTAATCAGATGTACCGAATGTTGGGTTCTGTTCGGAACGTCAAACAACATGCACAGTATTGAACTTTATCGAAATAAATCCTAACGCAGCGGAATCTATAGTTAGGATATGGACGTTTACCTTTAAAAATTTTTCCCGAC